AAATTTATGCACCTGCCCTAATTTTATTTAACCAGTTATTGCACACTTTCTGTAAATTGTATAAATTTCATTTCCCTTCTCAAATATCACTGTGTTTGTCTCCTATATGATTCATTTACTGATATTTTTTTTATCCAAACAATCAATGATTTATAAAGGTAAATCAGGAAAATTAACAAGGGTGCCCAAACTTTCGCACGTCACTGTAAATCTGTGGACTATTAAGAGGTTTACAACTGTTTGTTACGATTTAAATGTTTGTGTTTATTGTGACATGCTTTGCATTCATTAACCTGCAATAGCTATTGTTTTTAAGGAGTTTAAACTTCTTTTTTATATTTGAAACTTCTACTTCTCTAAAAGGTTTTCTGCTGTGCACAAACCGATTTTCATTGTCAAGTATATTCTAAAAACAGATCTGAAGTTTCATTAAGTATATAAAGTGTTTTTTCTGTAAAACCTATCATTAAACTTCTTTGATAACTTTAAACTGCTTTCAACTGAATAAAAATCAGCTTTTATGTTATTAAAGTAACAACAGAGATGGTTTTATCACAGTGATTAGGAAGTGATAGGTTTGATTGCACATTTAGCATTTTCCTAGCATTAGCACAGTAGCACAGTGAACCTGTATATAGCACCTGCTTGTCATTCAGTGAAGTGCTTTTTTCTAATTGTTGATCAGAAGCAATGATAATCATAACAACACATCTATATTAATAATAATAAATCCTTTTTAATGCAGGTGGTTTGACTCCTTTAACAGTGGGGGAGGGGGGCGTTATGGACCCTCAATCATGGCTAGGTGGGCGCTGGCCCAAACAAGGTTGAGAACCACTGTGTGGAGGTTAAAACTGTGCCCTCCACAGATCTGCTGTTTTCTCTTTGCTTTGTTTCTGGCTGCATWTTAAACAGGATGGTACTCACACTCCAGCTTGTCCTCGGGTCGCCCGCCCTCCAGCAACGACAGGTAACACACGATGTCCTTGAGCTGCACCGTGTCCTGAGGCCTGGGCAGGGCGGGCGTCCTCTGAGGGGTCGAGTTGCTTTTGATAAGCTTCAAGCCTGCGGGGGGAAGCAGAGAAAAGGTCAGGGCAGTGCCTCTGTGAGCCCAGAGACCTGCTGGCAGGTACTGATCCTTCATTGGTGGGTACCGTTAATCGAACGGCAAACGTCTTTTTATTGCTTTAAAATAAACTTCCTCATTTGTCAAAGAAGCCTGATTTAATCCAGGTTCTCTTATAACCCGTGTTTCCATTGTTATACAGATTTTACACTGATGGCTAATAAATGTATTATTTTATTGTATACATAATTTCTTTTTTCAAATAAATTACTAAAGTTTTATAAACAAAGAAAATCAAATAAGAAACAGGATGTTTTGTCAAAACTAAAACTGGAACACAATCTTTATGCATGAGTCCAAAACATATGAAGAACACAGATGCTAATGGGTCAAAATAAGAGTTACCAAGAATTTGCACACGTTTTGCCAAATATGAAACATGAGATTGATGTTTATCACTTTTTAACATCCACAGAAAAATATATTAAAGGTCTGCAGTTTGCAAAACATCTGATGAATGCATTTTGTGTAGAGCTGAGGCAGAAAAATAAAGGTAAACAATGAAAACACAGAGGAAGCAGAAAATAGCAGATACACACACACTAATAACAATAATAATAACAACAATTA